TGTGATTAAGTGGGGATGGCTGAGGGGGGTGGAACCTTCCTGAGTCTTCCCCAGTGCTGATCAGAGGGGGATGTCGGGAAGCTGGAAGGCTGGACTTGACCATGAACAAGCACACAGCGTGGCCGGGAGCCTGAGAAGGTGCTTTCCCACCACCCAGGGCCCCTGGAGCCCCCGAGTGAGAGGTTCCTGCCCCCCCCCCCCCCCGGAAGCTCTTCTGCCCCCACAGTTCCCAGAAACAGCTCCTTCCTCCAGCACCGCCCCACCTGCCTCCCCGCGGCCTCTGTCTCTTCCTGTTGTGGTCCAACGCCGGGCGCAGGCAGCTCGGCTCCCACCGACGGGGAGAGCCGGCCGGAGGGGCCACAGCACAGTCACCCATTGCCCGTAGCTTCCGGGTGACCTGGGCCAGTCGTCCCTCTGAGCCCCTTTCCTCCCGTCCGCGTGGACTCAGCACCTCCGCCTCGGAGACTGTGGTGGAGGCGGAGGGAAACCGGGAACGATCAGTGCCCGGCGCCGTGGGGGCGGGAGGCTCCGGCCATCCTGGGCAGGTGCCTGATCACCATTCCCTGCCAGGACAGGCGATGACCTTAAAGCAGATCTTGTAGGAGGCGAGTGATTTGAGTAAGTCCCCTCTTCTCGCTAAGTCTACACTGGATAGTGGAGACAGCCCGGCTGGTGTGGCTCAGTGGCTGGGTGTTGACCTATGAACCCGGAGATCACGTTCGATTCCCAGTCAGGGCACAGGCCCAGGTTGAGGGCTCGATCCCCCGCATGGGGCACACAGGAGGCAGCCCATCAATGATTCTCTATCACGGATGTTCCCTCCACCCCCATTTCCCTTCCTCTCTGAAATCATTAAAAAATATATTTTTTAAAAAAATAAAACAAGCTGAAACTGGTTTGGATCAGTGGATAGAGCGTTGGCCTAGAGACTGAGGGGTCCAGGGTTCGATTCCGGTGAAGGGCATGTACCTTGGTGGCGGGCACGTCCCCAGTAGGGGGTGTGCAGGAGGCAGCTGGTCGATGATTCTCTCTCATCGATGTTTCTAATTCTCTATTCTCTCTTCCTCTCTGTAAAAAATCAGTATATTTTTTAAAAATAAAACAAAATGGAGATAATTCTCAGGGAACTCAAGTGAGGGACGAATGAGACAGAAGCCCTTTGTATGATGACCTGAAATGGTATCATTGCAAGGCAGGGCACAGACTGTGCACTGTGAAGAGAGGTGTGAGCCGCTCTGTCCAGCTCCGGGCACAGGGCATGGCGAGTAGAAACCAGGTGGTCTCACCTGGCACAGGGCCACCACAGCCCCCCCTGCAGGCGCAGCATGGTCCTGCAGGTAAATGCAGCCCCCCGGGGCACTGGCACGGGTGTCTGCGGGCCTGGGGACCCGTGGCTTCTCACCAGCAGGCTGGCTGTGGGTTTGCGCTTAGATCGAGGGCGAGGCAGCTCGCCGAGAGGCACAGCTGAGGAGGAGGGGTGGCCCGCGGCATGCTAGCTGCTGTGTAACCAAACTACCCCAGGATGTAGTGGCTTCAAACTACTTTATTACCGCCTCACAGGGGCCGCAGGTCCTGGGGCGTTGCGTGAGGCCGGTGGTGCGTCTCCCATCTCTCCTCCTCAGGAGCCACACCAAGCCCCGTCCTCCCCCCTGGAGTCCCAGGTCCCCCTCAGCCTGCTCAGCTCAGGCCTCGGGGAGGACGGGGCTCCCCACAAGCCCCTTCCCTGTGCGTTGCCAGGTCACCATGGCTGGCTGTTCAGAGGGCGAGGAGAGGTGCTCTGCCAGGCAGCCAGGTACGCACTGTGCCTAACGGTCAAGTAAGCTCGGTGGTGGTGTGCATTGACTTCCAACCTCTCCTAGAATCCTGTGTGGTGTGTGTTTAGAATCCTGCATGTCTTGTGTGTGTGTGTTTAGAATCCTGCATGTGTTGTGTGTGTCCAGAATCCTGCATGTCTTGTGTGTGTGTGTGTGTGTGTGTTGAGAATCCTGCATGTCTTGTGTGTGTGTGTTGAGAATCCTGCATGTCTTGTGTGTGTGTGTATCTGTGTGAGTGTTGAGAATCCTGCATGTCTTGTGTGTGTGTGTCTGTGTGTGTGTTGAGAATCCTGCATGTCTTGTGTGTGTGTGTGTGTGTTAGAATCCTGCATGTCTTGTGTGTGTGTTAGAATCCTGCATGTCTTGTGTGTGTGTGTGTGTTAGAATCCTGCATGTCTTGTGTGTGTGTGTGTGTGTTAGAATCCTGCATGTCTTGTGTGTGTGTGTTAGAATCCTGCATGTCTTGTGTGTGTGTGTGTGTGTGTTAGAATCCTGCATGTCTTGTGTGTGTGTGTGTTAGAATCCTGCATGTCTTGTGTGTGTGTGTGTGTTAGAATCCTGCATGTCTTGTGTGTGTGTGTGTGTTAGAATCCTGCATGTCGCCGAGACCGGTTTGGCTCAGTGGATAGAGCGTCGGCTTGGGGACTGAAGGGACCCGGGTTCGATTCCGGTCAAGGGCATGTACCTTGGTTGCGGGCATATCCCCAGTAGGGGGTGTGCAAGAGGCAGCTGATCGATGACTCTCTCTCTCATCGATGTTTCTAGCTTTCTGTCTCTCTCCCTTCCTCTCTGTACAAAATCAATAAAATATATTAAAAAAAAAAAAAAAAAAAAAAAAAGAATCCTGCATGTCTTGTGTGTGTGTGTGTGTGTGTGTGTGTGTGTGTTAGAATCCTGCATGTCTTGTGTGTGTGTGTTAGAATCCTGCATGTCTTGTGTGTGTGTGTGTGTGTGTGTGTGTGTTAGAATCCTGCATGTCTCTAACTCCTTGGCAGTCAGGGACGTCGTCTGAAGCCTCCGCTCTCGCTCCCAGGCCCTGCAGGGGGCTGCACACCGGTGGCTGATGCTGGCCCAGGGCCACCCCGTGTCTTGGCCTCTGTCTGCATCTCTGTATGAGGGCGATTCCCGCGCAGCTGAGGCAGCATCAGGCCCACAGTGTGGCAGCTGGAAGCGCCAGGGGGAGCACCCGGGCCAGCCCTCAGCTCCCGGAGGCGGGCAGGCCAATCCTGACTGTTTCCCGGAGATGAAGCCCCCCTTGTCCTGCCTGGAAGCTGGTTTAACAGTGTCCGGGGCTGGTGCAGCCACTGTGGAGATCAGTGTGGCGTTTCCTCAAACTTAAATATGGAACTGCCCGCTGACCCAGTGAGCCCACTTCTAGGAATATATCCTAAAAAACCTGAAACACCATCAGAAAGAATGTGTGCACCCCTCTGTCCATAGCAGCACAATTCACAATAGCCAACATCTGCAAACAGCCAGGTGCCCATCAGTAGATGGGTGGATAGAAAAGCTGTGGTACATGTATGCCCTGGAAGGCTATGCAGCTGCAAACAAGAACCTCTTACCCTGAGACAGCGTGGAGGGACAGTATCATGCTAATAAGTCAATATCATGAAATAAGTCAGTCAGAGGAAGACAAGTATCACATGATCTCACTCGTATGTGGAACCTAAGTAACAAAATAAACCGACAAACGGAGTGGATCCAGAGACATGGGAGATGGAACAGAGGGCGGGAACTCGGAGGGAAGGTGGGGGGAGGGTGGGCGGGTGCGAGGTAATCAACCAAGGACCTCCTGGCCCATGGACACAGGAAATGGAGTGGGGAGAGCCTGGGGTGGGGGAAAGGAGGGGCAGGCTGGAGGGAGGTCATGGGGGAATAAAGGGGACATGTGTAATACTTCCAACAATAGTTTAATTTTATCCCTGGATTGGCTGTCTTGTGTGTGAGTATGTGTGTGTGTGTGTGTGTGTGTGTGTGTGCACGCGTGTGTGTTAATCCCCACAGGAGGATATTTTTCCGTTGATTTTTAGAGAG